GCTCGTTGGGTTAGCTCGTTAGCTTAGCTCGTTAGGTTGGCTTGTTAGCTTAGCTCGTTAGGTTGGCTCGTTAGCTTGGCTCGTTGGGTTAGCTCGTTGGGTTGGCTCGTTAGGTTGGCTCGTTGGGTTAGCTCGTTGGGTTGGCTCGTTGGGTTAGCTCGTTAGGTTGGCTCGTTAGCTTAGCTCGTTAGCTTGGCTCGTTAGCTTGGCTCGTTAGGTTAGATCGTTAGGTTGGCTCGTTAGCTTAGCTCGTTAGGTTGGCTCGTTAGGTTAGGGGGTTGGGTTGGCTCGTTGGGTTGGCTCGTTGGGTTGGCTCGTTTCGAGTAAAACTAATCCGAAGTTTATTCTGTTCACTGAGACGTTTTCAGTGGGAGAAACCTTTCATCACTCGTCCAGGTGACTGCAGGTTTCAACCTTATTTGCACAAAGACTGAAACTAACGCCACAGACTAACAACAGGCTGTGAGGTCAGTTTATGATCACTGATCAATAACCATGAGTCCCATTCTCAGAGAGTTGAATGGCTGCAATCACAGCATGTAAGATGGTGACAGATGTACCCTTAAGCCCCTCCTCCATTCAGAGATGGTCTTTCCCTTTTCACTCAAACCAGCGTTCCTCCCTGTCCAGGATGTGACATCATCATCATTAAGGCGTGGCCACGGGCCCTCGGCTCTGGTGGATTATTGAGCGTGCATTAGGAGGAGTGGTTAAAACTGTGTAGCGGCACACGGCGGTCCATCATCGAAGATTAGAAAATGAATCGGGACAAAACACTGTTCAGGAGTCCGTTCAGGAATTTGCCTCAGATGTTTAAAATCGCTGAAATCAGACGTGAGCTCGTAAGTTATCGTCACTATTTTACCTGCCGTCAGGTAGGCGGGTCCACAGACGGCGTTTGTTCCCCGCCGTCGTATTTTGGCTCTGAGCTGTCCTGTAGAGACGCAGCGTGCAGCCCTGATGTCGTTGACTCGAGTCCTCGTGTTTCCATCCCAGCCTCTCCCGTGGTGGGCGGGGCTCTTTTCACCGCGCTGTAGATATGTTTGCGTGCAGCGTCTCTCAGCTGCCCTCTTATTGGCCACAGCTAAATTCAGTTGTTTTCAAAAGAGAGGCTGAATTTGATTTTGTTTAATCAAAACCAATCTGACAGACCCGCGAAGACTGGAAACTGGCGATGCCCGGCGGGCTCAGATCATGTGATTACAGCGATGAATGACATCACCGCAGTAACGAGTTTCGATGCGTGCGAACGCTGGTTGAGTCGCGGTTGTTGTTCAGTCCTTCTCTTTGTTTCTGCAGCGATAACAGTGACAGAACGCGACACCGGACGCCTCGAAACGCCAGGATGTCTGCGCCCTCGCTGGGCCGCTTTGTCCCTCGGTGAGTTGGCTCCGAACACGCCGCTGAACCGGGTAAACTCGCGCTCGCCGCTTTGGTTCTCATTCCTGTTTGTCATCCTGCAGCCGATTCCTCCTGCCCGAGTACCTGCCCTACGCCGGGATCTTCCACGAGCGAGGGCAGCCCGGGCTCGCCACACACTCCTCTGTCAACAGGGTGCTCGCAGGTATGCGCACACACACACACGCCTTTATTTGAAAAGAAGGCGGCTCATGTCCGACCTCCGTCAGGACACGGTGACCACAAAGTTGTTTGTTTTCTTCAAATGGAGATGTGGGTTACTGAGCGTGCCCAGTGACGCCGTTTCCTGTCCTCCACAGGGGCGTCGATCGGGGACGGTCAGTCTGCGGTCGCCAGCAACATCGCCAACACCACGTACCGCCTGCAGTGGTGGGACTTCACCAAGTTTGACCTTCCTGAGATCAGCAATGGTACGAGCGCGAGGCCGAGGGTTTGAACTTTATACTTTAAGTTCCTGCTCAGCCCGGT